AAGTTCTTAAATTGTACCTACATTAATACTATAGTCTAAGCACATCACATAATCTGACAAAGAATTTATGAAATACATTCCTTTTCCTTACAGGCTATAGCTGGAGGAGATAGTCCTGAGAATACTGTTAACATGGAACATGTTCAGTGGTTGTGTTATAGTATGCCTGTTCATTTAAATTCACACTGATTTTTCCAAGGCAAGATTGTGGATCAAAGTATGGAAATAGAATATCAACTGTAATTACTTTAAGATCTGTGAAGATTATTTCACTTGGCAAATTCTGTACCTGTCCATGTTTGCATGATTTGAAGACCTATTAATACTGATCTAGTTGATTTTTATCAGAGGAAGGGTGCATGTGAATTATATTTCAGAAATGAGAAAACAAACAGATAAGATATTTTTTATTTTTTTTTCTGGTGCAGGGGGCATGTGAAGTGTTTTATCTTTCATCTCTCTGGGCTGGGGAGGTAGATCATTCTCCCAAGATGAGGGCAGGTCTCTTGAACTCAGAAGGAATCTGGAAGGCTTTGAAGTATAGCAGTGTCATGAAAGAGTAAAAGAAAGTCCACTGTAGCCAAGAACTAAAGAGCTTTCTCAGGATCATATGATAAGACCTGTCTGCTTAACCTGAGGTGCTAAAACGAGTAGTTATTCATAGAGAACATGTGCTAGATGAGGAATGTTGCATGACATCTTTCAAGAGTGATTGGCAGGTATTTTATTTTTCAGTTACCGTAGGTGGATGAGCCATATAACTTCTTTACACAAAACCTGATCAATGGCTTGATCTTTCATCAAAATTTAAGATGTGGCCTCATTTCATTTGTTTCTCTAAATTAATTTTAAATTGTATATGATGCAGGTATAATCCTGCAGAATGATCTTGCCAATGTGGGTAACAGCTGTTGTTTCATTTTGCGTAAAGAATTAAAGAGTAACTGGAGGCAATGAAAGTGGAAGTGAACACGAATATATTTTTCCAGTGTACTACTTGGTAACAGTAATTCAAATGGTAACAGTGAATGATGATTCAGGGGTTATTTCAGAATTTTATTTCCCAACAGTTTAATGTATGGACTTCCTTGAGGAATTATTCCTTGTTTAATGCCCAAGCCATTATGCTAAAGAGGTTAGCCAACATTTGCTCACTTTGTGACTAACTGATTTTCTAATCCCTTTATGTGCAGCAGAAGTCACAGGAGATTCATGTTGAAATCCCCAGAGGCAAAGTGAATTGAATTTAGGTGTCACGCGTTCTGGCTGCATATGTTAATTACTGCACAAGAAAGCAGCAGCAGTATCAGCTACTGTAGATATTTTTAAAGAAAAAACACTATGACATTTCCTATACTGCTCAGTAAAATATTAGGGCCTTGAAGGGGAGAAATGTCTTTGACTGCGTAAGCTTTTCCTGCTGGTGAGACAAGACTCAGTATTGCTGTTCATGACCGCTCTTTTGAGTTTTTAGTTCCTCACTGTGTGTAGGGAGCTTGTGCAGGAGCAGTTAGAAAAATACTAAGTTGAAGTTCTTAGGGCTAAGTTCCTCTGTGTATCTGGGCACTAATCGCAAATGAAAGATTTCAGGTCTTGGGACACCATATGTCCAAGGAGAGATCTACAAGAAAACCTTAACCTGAACTGTGACATGTTTTGTATAATTTTCCTTTTGAGGGAGGGAAGTTGACAAAGAAGGGCTTGCTTTCCTTTGGAAACCTCTTTCTGGGTGCTCTCAGTGATTACTGACTGATATGAGATGAGCTAAGAATCTTGATTGGGCAGAGGACTTGAGCAACCCTTTGTCCTGCTAATGAAGGGAATGGTAAGGCCTGATGAAACTGCATAGCTGTAAGGTATTTGAGAGGAGATGGTAGGCACCGATAACAGAATGTGGTTGTATAGCATGGGTTGGAGGTATACAAGTGCCAACTTGAGGTCAAAGAATTTTTTGAAGTAGTTGAATTTCATTGAATAACTAATTGTTCGTAGCAGAAAGCATGTCAGGTTCATGCAGAATGTGCTATACTTTAGAAGGGTAGAAATACCATAGTCAAATTGCCATGGTTTTGAAGTTTGGAACATAGACTTACCAGAGCAGGAAATTTGGCCAGCTCTATATTGGTGAAAGCTCATTGTACACTTTTTCTATTATTGCATATGTCTTAGTGGTTTACAGTCAATCCTGAAACAAAATGCAGAATACTGTATGAACATTATGTAAGAAAAATCCTTTCCGTCCATAATATTTTCTTATTTTCTTCTCCAGCATTTTACTTCTATATTTTCTAGTTCTTTAAAGAAGGTAGATAATAAGCTACCAATGCAGCCAAAGGTAGCATAGGTATTTTTGCATGGATCATTACTTGGGCAAGCACTTGTTTGCAGAATGCTTGTGTAGAGTGCTGGTGTCATAAAGACAAGAAGATACAGAGTTGTATGGGTCTAAACATGTCTGGCATTAATGTTGGCATTGCTTTGAACGATATTGTATAAACTTAATTAGTTCCACCTTCTTCCTAAAAATCAAAGAAAAAATAGCTACGTATGAATGATCCTTTACCAAAGAAGTATCAAACTAAAAATCTAGTTCATTTGTCTGCTACTGTTCATTGAAACATTTAGAAAATTTAAAGTGACTTTAAACATGTTAGAAATAACTGGTGTATCCCATACTCCCTTACAAAGGAAGAGTTCAGCTATCTGAAGTTTGGTGGCAGGGGTTTTATTCCCCAGCACTCTTCTGCCTGTTAAATACAATGCAGCTCAGGGCCTAAGTAAGCTAAGGAAGGGGAGAATGCAAAGCTCTGCATTAAAATAGCAAATGAATTCCAACTTATGTGCTGAATCAAAGATTCTGAGCTAGCTTATTGGTGATTTCCTTCTTCACTTGGACTAAGGAGATCCGCAATGCAGAGTAGAAATAAGGCCCTGTGACTATCTTACCACCCCCCTCCCCACTTCCTGTCTTCCTCCTTTCCCTCTCTCCTTCCCCTTTCCCCTACGTCTCTCCGTGCCTCCTTCTCTTTCTTCCTCCCTTCTTTTCTTCTGATTTATTGTAGGGAGCAAGTCTAAATTACAGAAAAATTCACTGGTTTTAGACTTTCGAAAAGCAAGAAGCACATAAATTTGATGGTGTCTGTGAAGGCCTTGGAAATGTAAATACAAAATGTTAAGATTGTTGATTTATAAATATGAAACATCAATTTCTCCCTCAGTATGTTCAAACGAATTATTTTCTTATATATTTTTCTGGTCTGTCATTACACTGTACTTTCAAAATAATTATTTACATAAATACTTTTTAAACTATACTCAGTTTTACATGACATTGTAAACCCCACGCACGTCCAATAACATTTATAAAAAACATGCAGATTTTTTTTAAACCTGTCACATCTTTGATAAAATATATCTGTTGATTTACAATTATATATTAATTTATCATGATTTTAACTGTTATAGCAGGTTTTTAGCATACTCTGAATAAGGTCTAAATAATGTTTAGGTCAGAATCTGTGTTTAACACAATATATTTTATCTTCGAAGTGAAAAATGAGATACAAATATCAATCTCATCCACCTTAAAAAAAAAGTAGATTAATATAGTATGTTACTGTAGGGTTTTATAAGGTGCATTTAGGCCATTTTTTAGCATTTTGAATATTTGTTTGAACAGTGCACCAATATTACTTTCTATCTTTTTGGATGTTTTAAGTGCTGAAATTTATATTGCACGTTTGGAACAATTTTATTAGTCTTTATTCAGAACTCGAACTGAGCCCATGGGCTGGAAATGTACCACTCTTTCTACACACTTCATTCTCTTCTTTACTGGGCAGAAATGACAAAAATGTCTACTGAAAGTGTCAGTAAGTTCTTACCACAGATGGCTGTGAAAAAGACTCACCTACTCTTTACCCAGAAAAGAAAGAGCTGTCTGCTTGGCCCTGACCGATGCCAATAAATGTTGGGGTTTTTTTCTGTTTGTTTTCTTGTTTTGTTTTATTCTTGGTGGAGAAAAACATGTTTGACTGGTCTTGAATTATTGCCAGATTCTTTTTTCTCAGCGGTTTCTCATACTTGTGCGTTAGACGGGTCTAACACTGGAATTGGTCCATGACAGCCCAATTCCAACACTCTGCTGCTTTAAATGAGAGATTTGGATAGGTTATAAGGAAAAGGTTTTTCACCCAAGGACAGACAAGCAATGGAACAAGTCAGACTAGAGGCTTCCCAAGGTTCCTTTAGTATGGAGTTATAAGAGAAGAAAGGAGGGGGAGAGGAGAGGAGAAGAGGGAGATGGACTGGGACCTGGACCTTTTATGGCCGACCTTACCTCCGCGGGGATGCCCGCAGAGTATGTGCCTGCCATTCTGTTGCTCTCAATGCACCTCGGAGCTGGCCTCCTGGTCATTGAACAAATGTGTAGGTTGGTAAGAATCTGTGCCTGACCTGTTCTTTGGTAGCCTTTGGGTCTCTTTCTTTCTGGCTTGGGATATCTCTGGGTTTTCATCTGGTTTAGATCTTGTAATAAACTTTCTAGTAGTTTTGGGGTGTATATGTGTGGCTTACTTTCCTTCTCCACCTGGAATCCTTCGATCCCTGGAACAATTTGTTTGTAAGGCTGAATAGGGAAGTAAAATCAGTGTTACATTTACTTGAAATGTTACCACAATAAGTATATTCCAACAAAACATCAAATTTTTATGGAATCTGGCTTACCTGCATTATAGGTTAGTCAGGTGGCAGGACTAAGGGATAACTTGGAGGTAAAGGGAATTATGGGAAAGCACTGAAGTGAACCTAATAAACATACCCAATCAAATGCAGGAGATAGATAGCAACTTTAGTAGGGTTTCTAGGAGTTGGTGTGGCAGATGAAATCCAGCAGATAGCCTGTTAGAGATTTTATGGAGTCTAAATATTACTGCAAATAACCCATATTTTCTTGAAATGGATAATTCACTTCTTTTTTTAAAATGTGTCTGTTTCTTTAGCTGAATGTGGAGCAACTGTCTCTGGAAATGAAGGAACATTGCTGTCTCCGAATTTCCCATCTAATTATGACAACAACCATGAATGTATCTATAAAATTGAAACAGAGGCTGGAAAAGGGATCCATCTTAGAGCCAGGAGCTTTCAGCTGCATGAGGGAGATATTGTTAAGGTAAAAAGAAAGTAATTTCACTTTCTACCATGGTCAGTATTCACTCTGCATGAACAACTCTGCCTTTAGCACCAATTATTTTTTATTTTTTTTTTTAATTTTTATTTTGATATATTTCACTGCATCACACAAAATGGATAAATTCTACGTGGATAGCCTCACTTTCTTTATACTAGGCTCAATTATTTATACTAGAGTCAAAGAAACTATAGGTAACATTAAGAGTTCAATAACATTTATGGAAGTATTAGACTGTTTACAGTGGATTAAAATCTAAAAAAAAAATCCTAAAATGTGAACATGGATTTTGAATGCTTATGTGTCTGTATTATTTTCTCTTTGCAGCAGTGTTTATGTGTAGCACAGTGTTTACTTAACAAAGGACAGATTTTAATTCTGGTACATTTTTGGTACATTTTTATTTTCTCCTTCTGTCTTGCAGAGAACTATTCATTTGTGGGTTTGTTTTGGTTTTTGGTTTTGGTTGGGTTTGGGTTTGATTTTTTTTTCCAAATAAATTAACTTGCTGATATGAATAGAAAAAAGCTAGCTAACATACAGCATTGTAATATTGTCTAAAAGTGTAATTACAGAAAATGGTTTTCATTCTCTGTAAGTAGCTTTTGAACCATGGCCTAAATACATACAGATTTTGAGCATGTAATGTGCTTTTCTACAGCATGGGCATAATCTCTCTTTTCTTAGTAATGGCTGCTGCATTCTTGTGTGTACTGAAAATCATGACATTCATGTGGAGTGTTGAGTGTACATGAAATTACTCTTTGTAAGTTATGTCTCTGAATTTTCAGAGTAAACTGGTACTTCAAATCACCAAGCATTCAGAACTGAGTTAGCAATATGTTTTCTGGGGATCTCACAGAAATCCATTTAACGTGTCAGAAAATGCTGTCTATGTTTCTAACTTGATTTTACTGTTCTTTATTTGCACCGAATGCTTCCCACAAGGAGTTTAAGGATACCATTGTTATGTATCGAATTTTGGTGGCTGTATTTTTATCCATCTTTTAAGAGACTCCTCATTTAAGTATGACAATGTAATTTGAAGTTATACATTTCCTGCAAAGTCCTGCAAAATGTGAAGGCTTTTAGAGATATGATGAAGGTGGAGAGTTAAAAAAAGAAATACTTTAAGTATTGGCTTTAATAATGCAGAAATTCAGATCTTTTCTATATACCTGGAGCTTTTAGCAAGTACAGACTGAATTTGACCATGAAATAAGCAAAATGAAAAAATACCCAATAGTATTAGAAAGTTACAGCATTTTTCTCCCTCTTGCAAAATCATTGATAATAAATGCCTCCATGCTTATGTTCCCAGTGTTGTGTGAAACACTGCAAGACCTTGGCCTATTTTCCTTTTTGATCAAAGAGAATTGAGTAGGTGGGCAAAATACATAGTCTGTATTGTCCTGTGGACCCATCTTCCATGGTCCAACAGTGCAGCTCCACAAAAGTACGTTTACTGTGAACAGATGCAGCAGACAAGAAAGAACTTAATTGCCCACTGAGCTGCTTGAATATAGTACACAAGTCTCCCAGAAGCTTTGCATATGTCAAGGTTATAAATAATTTAATTAACTACCTGAAGGGAGGAAAAAAAATAGCAAAAAAAACCTCAAAAAAAAAAAACCACCAAAACTTTGAAAACCCTAAACAAACATTCAAGAAACTCAATTATCCTTCAGAACATTTTATGAGTAATGTCAAGCATCTTTAGAGATGTTCCCTGGAGGTGTAAGAAAGATTTGCCTGAGAGAAAGCTGTTCTGAGCAATCTGTTAGATACTTTCTTCTTTCATAGATCTGTTAGCACAATACTCCTGAGGATCCAAAGGAAGCAAAGGCAGAATTATGGTGATGTCTGTACTGCAAGACCTTTTCTCTCTCTGGTTCCAAGGCAACTTAGAATAAATAAACTCTATTTATACAATTAAGCACTCTTCCCCCACAGCCTGTCCATAAACTGTATTTATAAAAATAAAATATATTTCCTCTCCATTGCCATGCCAGGATGTCTTTTTACATGGAATCAGCCCTTGATCTAGCCCCCAAACTTGCCCAGGCTTTGTCTGGAAGAGTGCCAAAAGAAGCAGACCAAAATCTTGACTGAAAATGTGCTGGAGGTTGAACAGATTGTACAACTGAATGTTAATGTTTGGGGTTACACTTTGGTGTCCTAGCTTTGTTTATATTAGTGGCTAAAGTATCTAGTATTCAGCTTTTATAAACTTGTTCATGTAGCTTCTGACATGGTTGATCTTATGGGAGATACTCTTCTAGATTGAAAGAATTATTCTTTCCAGTCTTGCCATGCAAGATGATACTGACTGCCTGCTTGCCACTAAAAAAGCATTTTGTGATGGTTTGAAGTCTGCTAGCTGAAAGCAGAGAATATTCCAGCAAGCTAGTGTAGGAAGCCAGCATGAAGAATTTTTGTTTTTCAAAACAATGCCAGTTATCTTGGAAACATGAGTTACCTTCCAGAGTTGACCCAAGTGGTCCATCTAGCTTGCTATGCTAATATATGCTGATATAGCTTGGTATGCTAACATATGCTAATATAATCCAGCTGCCTGACCAATTGAGGGCTGACCAAAAGTTAAAACATGTTACTCAGGGCATTGTCCAAATGCCTTTTAAACACTGACAGGCCTGGGACATCAACCACCTCTGTTCCGCAGTTTGACCATCCTCTTAGTAAAGAAATGCTTCTTAATGTCCAGTCTAAACCTCCCCTCATACAGCTTTGAACTATTCCTATGTATCCTATCCCTGGATACCAGGAGGAAGAGCTCAGCACCTCACTTTCCACTTCACCTCCTCAGGAAGCTGTAGAGAAAAATGTGCCTTAGCTCTTGGCTGCATGCTTAGTTTAATAATCTACTCTCTTTAATCTACTTCTTCTCCCTCTTCTTGTTCCTGTCCTGATTTGCATGGGAAGGAGATCTGAGCATATGAGGCAGAAATAAATTTTCATGTGCTCTGGCCAGATCTACAGTCTGAGCTGTTGGGAAATCAAGACACTCTCCAAAGGCTTACCTTTCCCCACAGCTTTGGCAGGGCTGTGGACTTCTGAAGTGTGTTTTCTTCCCTAGCTGTACCCTAAATATGAGGAAAATATGTTACAAACATCAGCCTTTTGTCTTGTGTCTGTACAGAAGAAAGCCCCAAGACTGCCCTGCAGGTATCTTGCACAGGATGCACTAAGGCTTAAGAGTATTTATAAACCTTGTGCTGAAATGCAGGGCGTTTTCCCACCTGAGCATCTTTCTGTTTTTAAAGAAAATACGTGCATATGTGATGTTGCACTGGGTACTGGTGGCCAGGTTTTGTTAGCAGGGAAATGCAGGGATGCTGGACACAGCAGGTTCCAGCCACATCCCACCCACACACTGCAGGGCACACAGCTGAGCCAACCCCGCAGCCCAGGTCAGGGTGGTGCCTTGGGGAAAGCGTATGTAAGAAAGGGCAAAAAACACTGTGCAGTAGTGTATGAGAGAGAAGAGTGAGTAAAACAAGCTTGAGAAACAATCCTTATTGAAAATGCCAAGGTCGACCCAACATGAATGTCAGGAAGTACACAGTATCACTAGTTGAGGTAGGATTGCTAAGAATTTCATGAGGATGTAATGAAAAGATCTGGGAATGTATATATAGGAAGATTCATTAACAGTGTCAGCAAGCTGTACGGGAATTATCTCTGAAGCCATCAAAGCAGTATTTTAAAAGCATTTCCCTGTGGGATGATTTTATTCCTTAAATATCTCTGCAGTTAAGAAAATTGCAAAGTTTAGTTGTAAGTAATTTCTTTTTACTGTCATAATGAGAAACTGGTGTTTAAGAAAGTCTATCCAGCATTTCCTTCTCCTTCAGGTGAGTGTCTGTTTTCACATTTCCACAGCAGGTGCAGATACATTAGCACTGTTATTAGAGCATTTCTTGTTGTGAATAATTGTAGCAATGTCCTCTTGCTTGCATGTGTTAATCCCAGCAGTAGAGCAAGCACTTTTTCAGTTCCTCACAAATGTTTACGTGAAATGGTGCATCCCTGAATGCTCAAGCTACATTTATCCTAGTGCTCCAAACAATGCTGTGATCATTCCTTGCTGCCCCTGAGGTCAGCTTCTGCCTTTGACAGCATCCATAATGTTAAACTCTCTAATCTTACAAAACAAGGTGGCTCACTCAAGCCGTCTCTCAGAAACAGTCCCTGGCCTATGTGGCTTCTGCACTAATGCTTTGTCAGGAAAGATTTGTGAGGTGTTAGTGAGTCTGCATTAAATGTGTGCCAAGGATGTACTGGCAATAAATACTATGTAGACAATCAAGTTGTGGTGACTGGACTCCTACTCTGGCACTGTTTACTTGCTTTGAAAATATAAACTACCTTCAGCTGTATATATTCAACTAAGTTTATGTGTTGGCAGGCACAACTGTGAATATTGAGGCTGGATATTGAGGCTGTGGTACATAGGGAACAGCATAAAATTTGCAAGGGTATTTCTAACATCAGTAAGACTGGTGCAGGAGGAAGGGTCAGAACTAATGCTTTCAAGGAGAATATGTGCAACTTAATGATTCTAAGTCACAGGCAAAGCTTTCTATAGCTATGAAGAATTTTGAACTTTTGAAATCTGAAGTCAGGTAAAGAAACAGAAACAGAATCACCTTTTTGAGGTATATGGCAAAAGTGAGTACCTGGATTTTCTGTTTATTTTAAAGTTTATCCTTTTTAACCCACTAACACTTTAGCTTCCCAATCTCCTTGATTTAACTGCCACTTGAAATTTCATAATTTGTTAAAGTGGCTACTTGCAGAGAAGTCTTTATAGTGCGATCACCATCAATTTGTTAGAGATAAGAGGTAAACCAGTCTTTCATGTCTCATCTATTTGGCCAAATAGACCTTCAATTATAGCATGTGAATTATATTGCAGATTGGCTCTCGTAAATGAGTTAAATGTACACACTGTGTATGAATGTTCATGTCTAGACTACTGTATTAGATGTGTTCCCTGGCTATGGAGACAGACACGTGACCGAACACAGTGGGTGCACACAAGCTGCCTATTGGGAATGGCCCTTGGCCTATGCTAATATTGAGAGTTGTTAGGGAAAATGCCTTTCTTTTTTTTCTCCTGGGTGTGGGTCAAACAACTTATCAGGATACCCATGGAGGTTCACTGGTTATATTTGTTCACTAACACTGTTTCAGTTACTGGAGTACACATGTAGCTGCTTATGTCTGTAATGTTAAAAATAGCTGGACAAATGTCACCAGTTAAAAATTGTCACAGTTTTTTTTACAGCTGCTTTCACATAATTCCTCTTATCTCATTATTATTTCATAAAACAGTGTTTTCATTTTTGTCTGGATTCATCTTGATTTAACTTGCTGATCCTTAGGTAGGAAGACTATCTGTACCAGTCAGTGAGGTAGAAAACTGTTGGAACAGGATGTCTAAGGGCTAATTGTAGTTATTAGCTGTGTTCATTTTTTCTTTTTTCTTTAAAGATGAATAAAAATACCTTATTTTTAGCAATTTTTATTAATGACAGTTAAAAATAGAACACTCCATTCAGAGTAATCTCTCAAACCAAGTAAAATATATCTGTGCTTTTTACATAGTATGTGTGATCAGAATGTTATTAAAAAATAAATCTCATGGTAAACAAATGCTTATTTATTTTGTACAATATTTTTCCAGCTCTGATGAAGTGTAGTCAGTCTGTGAAAGTGATCTGTAGTTCTGTCTTAGGACAATGGTAGAAGCTTGGAAGCACTTTTTCAGATACTTTTAGCATGGCTTAAAGTCATATTTCTGCAAAGAGATAGACATTAAGTATGTGTTAGTGCTTACATGAATCTTAAATACAATTGATTGGGTCTTCTGATAGTTCATTTATGTGCCTTGATAAAAGACACTCTTTGCCTTACTAATACAGACAGAAGGTATTCTGTCAACGGCTAACATGATGTATTATTTTTCTAAAGCTTCTCTTAGGGAAGATAATTATTTAAAGCTGTATATGTTCATTAAATTTATGCTTTTATCTTTAAAAATCTTTATGCACATTGTTTTTATTATTTTATTAATGTCAGCACTCAAGATGAATAAGGTACTTTTTAAAGACATTCACCTATGTTGATGGTATGCTGGTATTTTCTCCACTGAGGAAATAGCTCTGCTTTTAACTGTAGGTCATCATCCATAATTGTAGCTGCAATTGTCTGTCCTCTCAAAAGATGCCTTTCTAAAAGTCATTAATAGATTCAACTGGACATTCAAATAGGAAGAAGCGTCTGTGACCCAAATGTAGCAATTTAGATTGTTAAATGGATCAATGCCTGCTTCCGACTGGAATAGGTATAAATTCTCACTGTACCACGAGGTCTGAGAATGAGAGATGAAGATCCAGAGTTTAATATATTTGTTGTAATCGTAGCTTTTGCTACAATTGACTATATTTCTACAGTCACTAAAAGTCTGAATGTCTACAGTCACTCTGGGACATCTGAGATCAGGGTAAATTGTCTTATACTTAATATTAGAAACCAGCTGTTCAGATTCCTTACGTGCTTTTGAATAAGCATCCACATGATGTATGGTACATGTTTTGGAAGTATGAAACACACTTCACATTTGCCTATTTTTTCATAAGAAAATATAAGTGATTTATTTAATTTAAAGGAGAAATTGGCTTTTTAAAAAAATTCATCTTGAGAGGAAAAAAAACACCACTGAAGACTGCTTTGGCACTTAGGGCTTTCAAGGTCTTGCAATAAGCAAAAATAATTTTTCACCCCTAGCCAACTTTCTGTACTTGTCCTGTATTGGTGAACAATGACAAGGTCATTCTTATTCATTCCAGGATTTGGATAACCACAGAGATTAATACTGTTGATTTTATTCTCCATTGAAAGATTTCAATAAGTAACATGGTAAATATGAATATCTCTACACTTAGTTTGGAAATAGACTCACATATCTTTTTTGAAGATCTCTTTCTTAAAACCTGTAGTAAACCAAAAATTGCTTCAGGCTCAGAGTCTGAAATAAAAGGTCACAGATTGTCTTGAATACCTCAGTTCTGCTGTTGATATTTCCAGACAGGAGAGAACAGAGTAAGGTAAACCCTTACAGCCTTCCTTCAGTGGTGATTTCAGAAATTATACATCTGCTAGCCTTTGTGAATAATCATGAAAAATAATCTGAGCCGTGTATAAATATTAATTTCATTCAAGAAGAGCTCACAAAACTGAAAAGGAAAAAAGACTATAAAACACCTTAAGTGTGACAGAATATTTTATATTTCACTGAATTGCATAACTAAGTGGTAAGTACCTCACAAAAGGGAAACATTAACTTTTTTGAGAAACAGTTGTCAATACATAGTTAATTTACTGTATAAAAATAAACTAATGTTTTTCAAATATTTAGATTTGATGTCCAGTTTCATACTATTACTTTGTTTCTACAAGGTATATGATGGAAAAGACAGTTCTTCACGCTCTCTGGGAGTCTTCACCAGAAATGACATGATGGGAATTACCCTTAATAGCACCTCTAACCATTTGTGGATAGAGTTCAATACCAATGGATCTGATACTGACCAAGGATTTCAGCTCACTTACACAAGTAAGTAGCTCACAAATACAGTCTGACTGACTGTTTTGTGGGGGAATATATATTACTTAATTGCAGTGATTTCTCATGGAACAGTGAAGATAATGTACTGTGGCATAACTAGTTTGTTTCCAACATGCATGAAGAGATCCTTTGTCCAGGTTTCAAGGAATCTCCAAGTTCCCTTTGCCTTCATTTTTATTGCCTTTTACATCAGCTTCCATAAGCTACTGTTGAATCCTTCAGAGCAGAACACCATACCATACTATGGCATAGGAATGAAATCATAGCTTTTTCTAGTACATCTGCTGGTTTCCCTTTGGATTGGAGCCAGCTGTGGAATATGCAGAAATCATTCACTTGCCCTTATGTCTTTCTGCTGCGCCTGGTAAATTTGAAATTTTGTCATCCTCCCTTTAACATTTTTTTTTTTTCTTAGAGAAGCATAAAAGAAGGGAAGGTTTTACTGCCTAGGTAAAATGTGTTTAAGTGATTCATTTATTCATTTTTAAAAATTTAGATACCATATATGCTTTCATTTTGGTTCGGAATCCAGAAAGAACCACTAGGCAAATCTACTCTGACTTGCCAGTAGAGACTGTAGATTTTTTTTCTCCCTTTGAAAAAAGGAACAAAACATTTATTTTTTAAAATAATCTTATTTTAAATTCACTGATTTCAAGGGTCTTAAATCGGTCCCTTTCAAAACCTGCAACAGTGATCATTTCCATGTACCATTTAGAAATAGGATTTTATGTAAAGATAGAATTATGTGTAATTTCTGCATCCAATAGCTTGGTTTTGTTACACTTTAGTTTGCAATTCTAGTAAGATTTTCTGTGTAAGTTAATATGTCATAATTCATGTCTTGAGGATTTTTTTCTTTCCACACTTTCTGAAGTGTGTAGACAGTCTTCTAACAGTAATCTTAATAATACTGTGTACAGATGCAAAACTCACTTTCCTATTTCTTCGTAACATTTTACTCCCATGAGACAATCCCCATTTGTAAATATCGTGTAATTCCTCACTTATCACATGTGTTTTCAGGAACCCAAATTAAAAATAATGCATTTTAAGATGGTGTTTTCTATCACCTGTAAAAAGACAACTTACTCTGTGTAATTTCCAAACACTTCAGTTTGGGACTTTTCACCATTTATAAATTGATTCAAGCAGAAGATGAATTCTTTTGGAATGTTTTGAAAATCTGCTGCAGTGCTGACTCCCGTTAATCTTCTGGAGGAGTCCAATCCAAACAGTTTTTATAGATTAAATATACTAGAAATTTATACTTGTTATTTGATTGGAGTTTTCAGTGCAGTTCCAGTGCAGTTTCTAAGTAAATGCTTCCATTTTTCACTTGGTAAATAAATAAAACATAAAATCAATCAAAGAATCGTGAAACAGTTTGGGTTGGAAGGGATCTTAAAGATCATCTTGTTCCAAGCCTCCTGCCACGGGCAGGAACACTTTCCACCCGACCAGGTTGCTCAAAGCCCCATCCAACCTGGCCTTGAACATTTCCCGACATG